CACACACACACACACACACAAACTCACATACACACAAACACACATCCACACCCACCCACACAGACACACACACACACACACACACACACACACACACACACACACACACACACTTGCCTGTCAGGGCCAACCCTGGCTGAGAGTGACACAACGTCTAAGCAAAACTAAACAAAAAAACCGAAATACTTGATAAAAATTCTTGGTTACTCTGGAATCGAACGCGGGTCTTCTACGTGAGACAGGGAAGTGCCTACCGCTACACCACAGACACAGGTTGTTAGTTGTGTATAACATAATACGTTTTATGTGAGTAGGAGCGTATGCATTTTTGTGAGTACGTGTGTTTAGTAACGTGTTTTAAACTCTCTGTATCTTGCAAAACCAAGATATTATCGTTGATTTGCTTTAAAACACGCTGAGGATTCTATGATTATTATTGTGTTCCTATTTCCCATTCACCACAACAGGATAAAGCATCAGAGAAAATTAATAAGAAATTTTAACAAATTAGATACCTCTCCCTCATATTATTGCGATCCTTCTTTCACTGTACCCTCTTTTTATTCAGATATCCGAGGAACAATTTGCAGTCCAATGTTCGGGTGTGCCCTATACGTTCTTATACGTTCTCTGACCGTCTAGGGTGTGCCCCTTTCTTTCTTGCCTTTTTCCCGTTGAGTCTTCTCATCGACCAGACTAATAACACCAATCATCCTGTCCATGGGCAACTGAAACTGATGAGAAATTATACTTGCTTTCAAGGACAACTGCGTTAACTGAACTTCAGCGGTTTCCAGAAATCTTGACCGACACCAAAAGTGTGCATTGCCCTACCTATAGTAGAAGTTTGGTTCCATTGGTGTGTATATTAATTTGTTTGGTTGTAGAGAAAACTCTCCTCGTCTTTTAGAGAAACTGAACAATGGGCAAAATCTTTACCTTCGATTTTCTCAAAACAGTATTTTTGGGGATAGCCCCATTGTTCTTAAAAGCGACCAATAATGCCACATGACGTTGCATTGCACCGCCCGCTCCGCTCTGCTTGCAGTGTGGCCACCCAACATTAACGTAAAAGGAATCTGTTAACCACATTCTTGTCTATATCTTGGCACACACACACACATACGCCCACACACACAACC